TTATTTGTACAGAGCTCCACTATCAGCTATGGAAATCACAGGTATTTATTCTCACTGTTTTTCTCCTTTCAGCATGGCTGGAGGCCTGAGATACTCCTTCCTAACCCTGGGCAGCCAGTTAAAACCTAACCAGACTGACGAGGAAAATGTTCCCCTGGACACAAAGAGTTAAGAACTGGTGCAGAATTGCAGACTGACTTGCGGACCGGGCACAGGGTGGGCATTCCAGGCTGGATTGCACAGGCCGAGGTTTCAGGCCTCGGACCTTCCCTGTCCTACTCAGAGCACACATGGAACCTTTGCAAATCACAGCGTGATCTCTGTTTGGGGTCGCAGTGAGCTGCAGAAGGAGCTCCAGGGAAGCCAGGAGAGGACACGATTCCTGCCCACCTGTGCTGCCCTTAGCTGCCTCCCGAGGTCCTGCCTCCTCCCCAGGGCCTGGCCTCCTGGTGAAGGTGCCACCACATCGAGGTGCTATGAGAACAGCTCTGTTGCCTTCAGTTTCAACAAACATCTATTTTAATAAAATCGGCCTATTATTTGTTAGCTTTGATGTGAGTTATATTGGCATATCTTCCTAGTCATCTGAGAGAAATAAAGTCATTTCCACGAATGCCTCACTCTGAGGTGTTGCTGGCAGCTGGGAAATGACTGGCCACTTCTTCAGAACACAGAACACCCAGGTTCATGGGACAGCTAGACACTCCTTGTAGGCCTTGTGTTAAGAGAAATTGCAATGTATTTCAGAGGAAAATTGCACAGGATGAGTCCTGTCAAGAGGCTTATCTGTCTCTTCCCTCCAGGTTTGTTCCAGGGTTTAAACAAAGGTGCAACTCCTGCTGAGCTTTCCTACTAGGTGGACAGATGGACAGGTGGTGTTTGGGAAGGAGTCCTGATGGACAGGGGTGACCTTTGGCCTCTCCATTAGAAAATGGGCAGTTCCCATCCTCAGCAGGGGCAGGCAGAAGAGCAATGGCCAGTTTCCCTTATGCGTCACCAAAAGTGTAAGTCCTTGCCCAGATATGCCAGCAAAAGATGGCTCAACAGGAGAAAAGGCATCCGGATTAATTACTGTGCACCTGTGCATGGAGCCACTTAAAATATGAAACTCAAGGCCAGGAGGATCAATTTCATAGAGGAGAGGAAAGAGGAGGTGCCGGCTGTTTTCCAAGTGGATGAAGAACAGAGAATGGACAGAGACAAAGTCATGCGGGCTCTGGTATATGATGCTTGATCCTCTGTGGTAGGAACTCAGTCTTCTTGGCCTGTGGAGTTTCTGTAGGAAGGCTGAAGGGCAGTGTGTTCTGTGGTGGGTCCATCTTTATGTTGACAGGGTAGTTCAGGGAAAACCCCCGGCCTACATCTGCGGACCTCTTGGCCTGTGATGTGAAGCAATCGGTACACCATATATGACACCATAGGTGCCATGTTCCTGGGGTGCTGTTTTCTGACCTGACACAGGATAGGGCCACAAGCCCCTCCTTCCAATCCAGT